AAAAAAAAAAAAAAAAAAAGAACAAAATACAAGATGGATGATCAGAAAAGGGGAAGTAGACTTTGTGAAGACTGAAGGGGATTTGGGGATGGGGAGATGGAACAATGGGAAGGAGGTAAACCAAGATATGATATGTAGATGTACCAGTTCTCCACAGTGAATGTATTTATTATGTATCACAAACATATACTAATAAAAATAAATCCAATATCTACAATCTCTATTATTAGTCTTTTGTTGTTGTTACCAGGGTTCAAACTCAGGACCTTGCATTTGCGAGGCAGCTGGTGGCACCACTGAGCAAAATCTCTGGCCCTATAATTCATTCTTGACACTTAAATTGCCTCCGATTTGATAAGTGATAAGTGGAGATACCTACAGTCTCCTTTTTTCATTTAACCTATCCTTGACATATACAAGAAATTTCTTACTTTCCGGTATCAAACCTTTCACGGCGTTTGTATTTTCTCCGTCTCTGCCTTGGAATGAGCCATTTCTCCAAGGAGTCTGGTTTCTTTTAGTAGAGAATGGTATTCAGAAACCAAAACCTAGGTTCACATAATATATTTTAAAGTAAAATGTCGCTGTTCCTGTTTGTCTGCGTCACCGTGTGGAAGGCTTGTGTGATGATTTATAATCCTAACTCTAGCATAACCTGTGTGGCGCTGACAGTTCTGTTCATTCCATGCAGCCTGGTTTGTCAAGTGAGAAGAAACTGGATTAGCTAAATACTTCTTAATGTTTTCAGGGTCACCAACAGTTTGAGAATCTGATAGAATCGATGGTCTGTCCCCTCTGAGTCACGCCCAAATAAGCAGGCCTCAAAGTCTAGAGGAGGTTCCAAATCCTTGGTGTAAGTAATCTTTAAAGTCACCTCAACTCTTGACAATTTGTGAGACTGACCGGATGCTGTCAGAAAGATTCCTCAGAGACATCAAAATGTGAATACATTTATACAGAACGAGACGAGAAAGGGACACAAAGAAAGGAGCCCATGAGCAACGCGTTGCTCAGCCACAGTTCTTAACTGGTGCCAAATTTAGGTTGCTCTACTCATAGGTGAGAGATTTTGGCGGGAAGCTCCGCAGGTGGGCGGAGAACGCCGGGCGCGGAAGGGGCCCACAGGCTAGAGGGAGGTCGCTGTACCCCTCCGTTCGGCCCACCAGGGCTCGCTCTTTTCCTTCAGCTTCCAGGCAGGCTAACCGGGCGGGCCGAGTGGAGACCCCGCCCCCGGCAGCGGCGAAGCGGAGGGAGAGAGGGGGGAGCTGCAGCCCGGAAGGAACGCTCTGGCCAGCTCCGTGCTCCT